GCGGGAGTGAAAGTCTGTGTCAGTAGGTGGGGGTGACGGGTTGGATGCATACTCAACATATTCGCGATGTTCACGTCGACGTGGAAAACATTTAGTCTGAAGCTTCATTTCTTCGGGTCCTGAAAAATCCTATAACGATTATTCTCGTCAGGTGTACCTTGGAGAAACAGAATTTCCTCAAGAGATGTTTCTAATTACGAAAAATCGCGCAGACGACGACACGCAGTGTGCTGCGGGCGGCAAACGTAAGTCGAGATCTCTTGGTCACTGTCCAATCCCTCTTCTAAGAGAAGGGAAGCCACTGCTGAAAATCTGTCACTTAAAACGTTTTTAATACAATCTTCCCTATCGAGCGCCTCCTCACCACCAATCGTAGTTACCTCTGCGTACTTCTACTTCATTGCTTTCTGTCGATTAGCTGCCATTGTGCGGGCTCCTGTACTACCAATCTTCTGTTGCTATTTTATCTGCAGCTGTTCTTCGGCTCACCTGCTCTACACCTGATTCTCTCAATTAGCGGGGCGGCCCTCTTCGCTTGCCTGCTGGTTTTTGACACCCACTTGATCATGAAGCGTTTCTCTGCGGAGGAGTACATAGCTGCCTCGATAACACTCTACTTGGACATTATAAACCTCTTCCTCTACATCCTTCGCATCCTCCAGGCGGCCGAAAACCAGTAGACCGCTGTGTCGCCCAACACTGACCTGTATTTTCCCTCCCCCAGCTTTCTGACCGTTACTTTCTCGGCCATCTTCCCCTCATTCAGGGTGCCTGACCTCCGATCACTTCCTTCGGGGTGCCGTCCCTGCAAGAACTCTTTTTCTCAGGCTGTGTTGTTTCTGTTTTATTACTTTGCAAAAACGGTAGCAGTCGCTGAAGGCGGCTGTGTGACCATTGTTCACTTATAAGCCATTTATATGGCAGTTTGGTACAATTCGTGGCTGAATACCCCCTGTCTCAGTGAACTTGGGTCTGGGGCCGTGGGCCAATCGCCAAACCATTAGAGCACTGACTCAGATCGCTGGTCTTTCCGCCAACGGCTTAGTGTGTGTCTTTTGACAACTGAAAGTAGCCCAAAACGGCCTATTCTAGCCTTTCCTGCCTTTGATCATAATTCCCGATTATTGGTCGCCCAGCTCCACGCGGAAAGACAGAACTCCGCGTAGAAGCAATCGGTTTTTGACTTGCAGCCATAAGTGGTTGTCTTCTGACTCTCGATTCCACAGACCTTGAGTGCATATAAAGGCGATACTTCCTTTCTCCGAGTAGTGGAAAGTTTTTCTCCGGAGAACAGGCTGAACCGGCAGGTGAATATACCGCTATTAAGGACTTTTTCGAGTGTAAGGGTGGGGAGTTACTTCTAGTGTTTTGTTGAAATGCTACACATACCACCAAGTAACTGTCATGCTGAGGTAGGGCTGGTCCACGTTGGCTGTCTTCATTTGACGCCCTACCGGTAGACTGCTGAGAGTAGATCTAAAGAGGTAGTAATAAAGACACGCCGCATGGTCGGGGCGCTGTCCAGCAGACATGTTACGAAGTCGGGGTGTAACATTTTGCCGGGGAGTCATTTAAGCCAAAAGTAGTCCCTGTTGTTATTCTAGCGGTCCTGCAAATCTAAGACTCGTGAGAAACGTGTTATGGCAAAATACCACGCCGTGAGGTAGTCGGCTGTTCGCGTTCAGGGAGTCTTCGCCCATGTATGGTTCAATAAAACCAATCCAGTCGCTAGAGTTTCCTGGACGCAGGTGGGACCGCGTGAGGTCTCGCACGATTTAAGTAGAATGAAAGATCAAAGCTGGAACTCAAGGGGAGCGAGTAGTCTGGCCTCCACCCTGGGTCTGTGGTGGCACACCCGCTGGGCCGCACACGGCTTTCTCAGACCACCGTTCGACTACGCCAGTTTGCACTTCGCATCTTGGAAGACATCGTATAATTCTTTGCTCGGGAAGTTGCTGACCGGCGGCCGCTTTCTCTCCTTCACTGAGAGCAAATCCCGGTCAGCTGGTCGCCAAACATCTGAACCAAATGCGTCATTGGAGTCGTGGATCAGCGTCCAGTCACATGTCAGTGGTTTCCACCCATTTCATCCTGATTACGGAACGGAATGCTGATAATTCCGCTTTGTCATTCAGTTTTGGGTGACAGGCCTCTCAGGCGATGCTATGATAACAGCTAACCCATGGCCAGAAGATGTTGCGGTCAGTAAACTGCCAGAACTCCGGTGGGGGTCGTCCGCAGTTTCTGTGCTGGTCACGCCTCAACTGATGATGCCTTTAGATTGCACACTGAAGCGGCGGAAGCCCGGAAGTTTTGTATGTAGTCTATCGCAATGCGCTTCGACAGGCGAATTGAGTCTTCCCAGAGCTTCGTCCTTTTGCCACTTTGCTGTTGCCGACAGAATTCAGCAGCCTCTGGGTGTTCGTACATTTTGGAAAGAAGCATACTTGTGAGCATTTTGGTTCTTAACGTTTCCATCCATTGTAAAGCGAGTGGCGGCAAAAACTCGGCACACACGGTAGTAGACCACAGGTCAAGTCTAGGGGTATCGCTGTCTCGATATTTGGTTGATGGAAGCGTGCTACTGTGCAATTTTCATCAAAGGATGCCTGCGGACCTACCCGAGAACACCGAACACGAATCTTGCGCCGAAATCACAGTAAGTCACGCTCTCCAAAAAGAACATCTGCGCGACAGCAGGACGGATTGTGTCTGATCTGAGTGTGGTCATCGTCCATCAATCACATTACACAACATTGTCGATAGCTTAAGCAGTAGGCGTTGTCAGATGACTATAATCGCGATCGGACAACAATCCATGCTTCCTGCGTGCAGTGGTCGTTGGGGTTATGCTACTACAACGGGCCACCCGGAAGATGTGCTGGACCAACATGGGAGTCAGATTGGCGTATGACACATGTTCACCAAACTGCGCAGTCTGCGCATCCCCACAAAAATGCCATTAATGGGGAACTTTGTGACATGTATGCGCAGGCCTTACGTCGGGCCAGACATTTGCGTCCAATCGCCATGTCAGACGACGAACCGGCTCGGACAGCGGGCTGGTGCACGAGAGAGGGAAGAGTGGGAGGTGTAGCAGTCAAGGATGTGAGATCAACTTAAACCACGCACAATAAGTTCGTTTCGTCCAATGTCAGCAGTCAGGGGGCTGTGAGGAGTAGTTTATTCTGTGCACAGGGCAGGTTGCCGTAAGTTAGCTGTTTGCTTGCAACAGATATAAGCGTCCGTTCACGGAGAGCATCAGTCGCGGTGTGTAGTTTACGCGGGGATGAATGTCTGTGTCAGTAGGTGGGGGTGGCTGGCTGAGTGCTGGTCATGAGATTAGACGGGTTAGGGGGACGCATAATCACGCGGGCTCACGGGTATCAAGCCAGGTCGCCCGACGCGCGCGAGGTGATGATAGTTTGTGAGGGCAGCCAGAAGTCACTGCAGCTGGACAGGAGGGCTCCTAGTTCTAGCCGGGGTGGGGGTGGTCGTGTGTCAACAGCTGTCGCGGCCATCGTCCGACAAAACGGAACCGGAGAAAAAGGGGGACAGGAGCGGCTGCTACAGTCGAACGCTGCTGAATTCACTCCCACGGCACCTCAACGTAATCCTCACCACAGAGAATTGGACGTGCTTGTATCCATCTCGACGTGCTAAGAACCCTGCCAGCTGACAGTGTATCTCGACTCCATCAAGAAGGAGTGACAGCCTGTAATGGCTTGTTAATGTGGGCGCTTGGCACCCCCACGCAGCTGGGATCTGAGTCGTCGCCTTGCCTCTACGGAAAGCCTGATGGGGTCGCCTCTTGTGTGGCACGGGTAGACCGTCTGTCCAAATTTGTGGGCCAGTGTGCCCGATTCCGCCTCCTGTCATACTGACTCCGTATCGCCACCGGGCCTAGGCAGGTGGGGGAGAAGAGAGGGCGGTAGACGCCGTGAGAGTCGATCGTCATAAACTAATTAACGTTCAAGTCGCCGTCTTGCGCCCACAATGGTGTGGGGCGCAATGTGGACGTCGTCGTTCGCGACAGCTGAACTGAAGACAACTGTGGTTTGTCGCGCCAAATATCCCAGTATAGATGTGAACTGCTGTGGCTTGCTTGTGTACCGTGAAACATCCAACTCGGGGCTGTTTCTGGCCGGATTAGTCTCGTCAATGGTCCAGTTGGAGAAGGGCCTCGACTAGTCCGCCTCCTAATAAAGTCTGGCGCAAGCTTTCGTGCCCTGGACGAAATATTTTGATCTTCAATAATTCAATTATTTCCCTCCAGGCCGCATTCCTAGACTATCGAGCTCGCTTACAGTTTTCCAGAAGCCTGACGGACGGCAACTCTTTCCTGTAATCATTCGTTCACTTCCCCGCCGCCGATTCCGTTTTTCCCTCACTGTCGTTAAGTTCACCCTTGAGTAATGTCATTATCCACTCCCCCGCTGTCTGATTTTCGATTATTATTCCCTTCTGCTATTCCAGACTTATTATCATGTTGAGTGATACCTGCACTGATGGACATCTACACATAACACGGTCCAGTAGCGCGCACGCGACCGTGTCGTCACGGCAGATGCGAGACACGCTGGCCAAACAGCACGAGCCAATCAGAATTGCGCTAACCGCGAGCCATTTCAGTTACTAGTCTAGCTAGCCACGCGTACGCACTCGAGTGCCTCGGCCAATAGTCCACAAGGTCTTCTTTCATTGGTCAACCACTGCAGCGACCTCTGCACTGTCAAAGTAACAGCGTAGCGACATCGATTTTCGCGATGATGGGCAGATTGCTCGTGCCCGAAATTCCGCCTGTCAGACGGTCTAGTTTGTTCCCAGCAGCTATGTTTGGTCGCAACAAGGGGACTCTCTTCACTGCAGTTGTTGTGGGAACTGTCCTGATCATATTTTTCGCCCATAAGTCAAAATGGCCGGATTATGATGCTGTATTCCTCCTTACCTCGTCATGTCCCGAGGCTCGTTTGCCTCAGGCTTGCCGCTTTGCAGGGCTCATGACCGTGCACCCGGATTTTCCTCTTTGGGGCGTGAAGTACAGTCGCATCATGACGAAGACTCCGTTGGACTATGCCAACAAGAATGAAACTACCAGCTCAATGAATAATGTGAATAACCATAATTTCGCCTGTTCGTCTCACTCTGCCTTCCTGGTCGTCTATGCAACCCATGAACGCAACGACACACTGACCTCCACCAAAGGCAACTTTCTGGTAGGCATTCCTTCTTCACACTTTTAAACCATTAACGGTTACACGTTTTAACTACAGCCAGTCATTAGCCTACAGCTTGTCTAGTGTGATGGGGAATACTGGATGGGACCTGGGGATGACACCTACCAACAAACCTTGATCTCAGGACGGAAAGCGACGTTTTTATACCCTGAGCGTTACCTTCTACAGTCATATGAGGCCGTCGAATAGCAGCCAGTAATTAAGAGGTACTGCCGACAAAGACAGGGGAGGCTGAAATAGTCATATCTGACTAACTCCAGACCAACTGGACTCGCGTTCCAACTACGGATTTTGCTACCTAAGTCTGAACTACGCTTAGCTAGTGACTACAGTTAGACCAAAAATTGCTTTCTCAGTTCTCGCTTGTTGTTATGGCCCATGGTCCTCATTCCTATAACTGCACCTGCCGGCACTTGCCAAATGGTCTGGAGAAAACCTTTTTACGCACTCACTTCTTTTGCCTTTTAGAACTGCGAATCTTGAGTACATTAAATGCCTTTAAGATTGGCTGGATCGTAAGCCCTCTAGTAGCTTCCCACCTTTTCAGTTTTCTCAATAACATTAGAGTAGCAACCTCGAATGTTTACTAACATTTCAGGGCAATAGTTTAAAGCTTCTCATCAGTGAGGCTGTAAAGAGGAATTGTTGGCTTCCCAGCATCCAAATGGCTACCAGTAGGAAGCAGAGCCCCACAGGGTTCGATACTACATTCTCTTCACCTCCCCATCTACATATACGACTGCACTGATAATGGCTGCGATGTCGACGTGCTTGCTGGTGGTAGAAAAGTCTGGACAACGATCATCAGAACTGCACCAATTGGATTCCACGCAAAATAAGCGGATACGTAAAATGACCTAGGTATCTAGACAGCTTTGAATTGATGCCCTTCGAACACCGTAAAGAAGCTGCTTTAATGGCAACAAACATCACGGACTGAATAAAGTGAGCTTCCATAGTCGTGTCTCCCGAACTCTTTGCGCCGGATATGTGGTACGTTCGCTAGAGCGTATTTTGAATGTGGAATACCAGCGTGGATGCAGTAGGCTAAGAAAGACGGTGACGTCATCGAGTAGGTGCAGCTACGGACGACAAAACTGATGGACGGTTTCAAAACTCCGTTGTCTTCAGAAAGACTGATCAAGTCCAGTCTGGTTCCTCTATCCCATAGACAGTTGGGGTGCAACCCGTTTTGGATATTCGTATCATCTGAGGATAAGACCTTTCACTTAAACCTGAAGTTTTCGAGTTTGCAAATACGAGCCACTTGTGCGATCATCCAAACATGAGCATACGCATCTGACCAACGAGAGTTTTCTTTCGGCCATGAAACACATTCTCAAGCGAACTTGTGAATTCTGCTACCATAACTGTGCACATAAGGCAATTGGACAGCTTAGTTTTTGATAGGCAACGCCTCTTGTTGCAGGATCACCTACGACCAGCTATGAACTTCACTTCAGATCTTATTCGTCTTGTGTCGTATCGCTACGCGTTTGTCCTAAAATGTTTCCGTGCACATTCCAAACGACCACATTTCATGTTTACTGTATGCAACCTCATCTGTGCATCAGGGGCTCCGCCCGCAACTCTCAGATACATGCGTACAAATCTTTCGACGGAACCTCGCAGCACACGGGTGACCCAGGAGGCGCTACGGACCATCTGGCATGTGACCAAAACTAAGCACTGCGGTCGCGTTTGCTCGTTTTACGGCGAAAAAAGCGCCCGCGGGAAGAGATTAGCCGTCTCTATGCGCTTAGACAGACATGCAGTCAATCTTGTCGGATAAAAGACCGATTGATTATCGACGTTCGCCGTATATATTTTTACAGTATGCCCGACGTTTGACGAGATACTGTTTTCGTCTAGGGTTCGCCATAGTATTTCCTTGATCACCGGCGACACCTCTTCGTTCGGTATCTTATTCTATGTTTGCATTATTACAGGGCATGGACAGATCATTTCTTTCATCGATCCCCGTATCTCCTCATACATGGCTTCACTATGCATCTACTTGCTACTCCCACCCCACAGCTAAGTATCCCTGCGGCTTTCGATGACGGCCAACGCTCTGCGTGGACATGCTGCCGTGCGGACGGTTAATTTTCAACAGCGTGGACCATGGAGTCCCATTTCTGGCTGATCTAAACACACTGTCACATAGTCCGACCCAGGTTTGTTGTTGTGCAGTTAACAGTAAATAATAATCACTGGTAGGGGGAGATCACCGGTCGTTCATACGGAACTCACTCGTTCCGTTGTGCCTTAAGGGCTCTCTCTCTCTATCGAGCCCAACCAGCAGCCGCACAGCGGCGCATGATATATAGGCAGAATGGTATTACCGACAAAGACAAGGGAGACCGGAATGGCCATTTCTGGCTTATTAGCCGTCGTCAGCCAGCCATACCCAAGCCCGAAGTGTGGAACACCCGAGCCTCCAACTCGCGACCTGTTGGTTTAGAAGTCAACGCCTCTACTCACCGGGCCGCGAGCCCGTTGCCTTGTCGGTTTTCGATCGGGAATATGCAATGTTAGGGGGCGCTCACCGATCGTTCATACGGAACTCACTCGTTCCGCTGTGCGTTATGGACTCTCTCGAGCCCAACCAGCAGCCGCACAGCGGCGCATGATATATAGGCAGAATGCTATTGCCGACAAAGACAAGGGAGACTGGAATGGCCATTTCTGGCTTATTAGCTGTCGTCAGCCAGCCATACCCAAGCCCGAAGTGTGGAACACCCGAGCCTCGAACTCGCGACCTGTTGGTTTAGAAGTCCACGCCACTACCCACCGGGCCACGAGCCCGTTGCCCTGTCGGTTTTTGATCGGGAATATACAATGGTAGGGGGCGCTCACCGATCGTTCATACAGAACTCACTCGTTCCGTTGTGCCTTAAGGGCTCTCTCTAATCACTAACTAACTAAATAATCACTAAATAACTAGTCATTAGTTAACGTAATCGCAGTCACATTGTGACCACTAAGCCATCTGAGTAATCTGTTGACCGGTATTTAGTAACTGGTGTCCAAAGTCTTCCTATCCAACAGACAACGCCAGTTTTCAGCTAGATGTGAATCCCTTCTCCAGGCGTCAACGTGGTCGCCACTTGCGATATTTAGATTAATTTGAAAAAAACTTGACGGAAAGACACTGACCAGGTGCTGTCAGATTTTCTTGTGAAAATTTCTCCACATGATCTTTAGTCTGAAAATATGGCAACGGCTTGTTTTATACGTGCGGACTTTTTTCATCATGTCCACTTCACGATAAATTTGGCGACCGTCACTATCTAAATAACATATTGTTATTGCCAAATAAGTGCTTGACCCTCACTGTTGTGGTTAAGATATCACTCGATCCCATTCTGCCCACCTGCCAGCTTGCTACTGAGGACAACGAACGTTGCGCCTGGTCTTTTACACTCTTAATGAGCTGCTGATGTATTATATGTGGTATGTGTCCTATGACACAGCGTTCCTTGTCACCAGTAGCAAGTTGGCGGCCGAACAGAATGGGATCGAGTGAGATCCAAACCACAACAGTGAGGGTCAAAGGCCCACTTGACATGCTTACAGTAGGTGAGCTAACCCATGAAATGTCAGCCGAAATTCCAAAATGCGTTTTCTTTCCGAAAAGGCTACTTAAGTAGGGTTGTAAAACTTATCATCTTGTAGCATAATTCTATAATAATTCAGTTACCTCAGGATGTCGGCTTTCATATGAACTTCTTTTTGGGTGCATGCAAGGACTACATTTTGTAAAAAAATAACTACTTAAGTGGCACGCATTTTCCTCATTGATTTTCATTGCCCTTAAAAATGCAATTGTATTTCATGGTAAGCATGCATAAGAATATTAATTCTTCTACTCATTCGGTAGAAATTTTTGTCTTCTTCCGATTTTATACTCAAAGGGAAGGCATAATTCGGTTTTAAGAAAAGTTTCTAATTGTGAGATTTTTTAATACCGTGAAATGACCGTTCATAATACATCGTGTCTCCGTATTTGCTAATGCAGCTTGCGAAGTTTACAATATGACTCAAATCCACTGCTTAATTTTATGAACCCCATATGATCTCCTCCTAATGCCGTAGAGAAATGTACGGTTTTCCGTACGGGGAAAATATATGGCTTGTAGATTGGAAACCCTGAATGCAAGTGTGAAGGCAGGTGGGGTTCAATATTATTCGAGAATCGGAAAACTTTTTTAAAACCGAGTTATACCCTATCTTCGAGTATAAAATTGGAAGAAGACGTCATTTTCTACGGAATGAGTAGAAGAATTACTTTTTTTTATGCATGTTTACAATGAAATATTATTACATTTTTAAGGGCACTGAAAATCAATGAGAAAAACGCATGCTACTTAAGTGATCATTTTTTACAGTGTGGTTTTTGCTTTCGGCCGGAAAGAAGTTCATTCGAAAGCCGACACCCTGAGGTAACTGAATTATTATAGAATTATGCTACAAGATGATAAGTTTTACAAACCTACTTAAGTAGTCTTTTCGGAACGAAAACGCATTTCGGAATTTCTGTTGACATTTCATGAGTTAGCCCACCCACTATATATATCTCAATTCATAAGGCCTATGACGCACTGATGATCGGTTACGATCGTGAAATAGCCGTCTGCGTCTAGCCTGTTGCACTCCTAGTGAGCTGCTTATGTATTATTGTTATCAAAAGGTTACCTCTGAACAATATATCCGGCTTCTGCATGTGCACGCGGACATCCAGTGATCGCTTAGGAAAATCAGTTTTCGCAGTCGGTCTACTGTATTAGAATCGGTGGATTTTTTACATTTCTGTAAGCTGGGCGGGTACCTTAGCCCGTATGACCGCTCCAACCAACCCTTACAACATAGTCGCAATGGTTGCGTATCCATTGCTGGGCTGTCTCATCCTCCCAAATAATGCTCATTAAAACCGTTTTGTTCCAGAATTTGGCTACAAGCAGCGGCGACAAAGACACGACAGTGTGGAATGCTCATTTCTGGTTTCTTTGTTGCTATTAGCACAAATTTGAACCCGACGTAGGTCTCTTTAGATACTGTCTGAGGCGCTCTGTTGAGTTATCTGCAGTTCTGATGTCTGGCCCTAGAAATGTCAAACAAAAGCACATGCCTCGCGGCTGCCGCACTCCAGCAACTAGTCGTCGTTGCAATAAGCACTTTCAGCATGTCCAGACAGTCGGACGCGTCAAGCGCCTCATGTCAGCTTCATAGCATGTATAACCGGCCCCACCAGAGAGCGTGGCCGGACAGCCATTTAGCGTTAGTCTGTGAGGCGTTCTTGAGTCCAACAACTAAATCATAGAGGACCGGAAATGGCACATGTAGCTGGGCAATGCTTACTCGTGTATTCTGCCTTTTATCTCTGTCAGCCACTTGTACTTGATACGGCTGAGATCATGCCTGATCTGGCCGGCCTATCTGATGTCCGACCTGTACCTCTCGACGCGTGACGATCCGCGGTAGCAGATCTGGACAGCTCAACCCATTCCCTTCGCCAACGACGTAGACCGAATATCGAAGGTCCAAGAACCACCTCCATTTCTTGACGAACTGTGTCGAGCCAGGTTTTGAACTTACCCCCTCTTCGACGCCTCCAATGGGGCAACGGTGCCGGATCGAGGGCAGTAACACTGAGCGGCGGGAATACAGTGTCGCAACACTTAGAATTGTCTATTCCCCCACCAGCCTGTCTTACGGGCGGACTACTACTACTACTACTACTACTACTACTACTACTACTACTACTGCTACTACTACTACTACCACTAATACTACTACTACTACTACCACCACTACTACTGCTACTAATACCACTACTACCGCTGTTACTACTAATACTACTGCGGGAATACAGTGTCGCAACACCACCACTGATACGGCGAATACTACTAATAATCCTACTATTAGTACTACTACTACCACCGCCACCACGGCTGCCAATGCTACTCTACCAACGCTTACAGTATGGGTAACTAACTGCCATAATACTAGCATCAGTAACGGAGTGTTGCGACACTGGTATCCAACCCACTGAGCTCCTGAGGTGGACGACGAAGAACATTCCCGAACCACTTCAGTCGTCTTTCATGGATGGCCTGAGTTATCCTTGCGATGTTGTCGCAGCGAGCGCGGACTGTCTCATTTGAGACGAAGTCGGTGAACTTCACTCGAAGGATGGTCCTCAAGCAGTGGTGGTCAAATACCTCCAGTTTTCGCTCGTCCTCCACGCGCAAAACCCAGCATTCACAAGGGTAGAGAAGGACAGACCGGACAGATGCACTGTACACGCGAATCGTAGTGGCGATGGAGAGGTCACATCGATTCCATAGGCATTTCCGAAGGCTTGAGAAAACCCAGCGGGCCGCATCGATTCGGGAGACAATGTCGTCCTTACTCTGTCCATTAGGCAGCAGCCTCGCCCCGAGGTACTTAAAACAGTCTACTTCATCAAGTTGACATCCATCAATCACGAGGGGTGTCTTCTCCTGGTCAGGAATGCAGCTTGAAAACACTTGGGTCTTCCCAGCGTTTATGGGCAAACCGACCGACTTAGCGACCTCGTTCACCCGTGACACCACAGACTGCAGACCACCAAAACTTGAAGCAACTAAGGCGATATCCTCGGCATAGTCGAGATCAGTCAGTCGATGTCCGGATGCACACTCAACGCCGTCGCTCATGCGTAGGGTCCTCCAGAGGATCCACTCAATAGCGTAGTTGAACAGTATGGGTGACAGGATACAACCCTGTCGGACGCCAGACCGAATACCGAGCGGTTGGGAAAGATTGTTGCGGACCAGGACTCTCGTAGTAGTGGAGCGATAATAGGCCTTGATCATGGCGATGATTTTTGCCGGTTCACAATCTAGCGCCATTATCCGTCACGGGTATTCACGGTGAACGGAATCGAACGCGGCGGCAAAGTCAATGAAGCAGACGGCCGTCGGTTGTTGGTAGCTATGGCGAAATTGGAGAATGCGCCTCAGTGTAAATATCTGGTCTGCGCATCCACGTCCAGCACGAAATCCGGCTTTGTTGGGCCTCGTCCTTGAGTCACGCACAGCCTGGAATCGCCTGAGTAGGACAATAGCGAAGATCTTCGCAGCAACGTCGATGAGACTTATGCCGCGGTAGTTCTCGCATCTCGTCTTATCTCGCTTCTTGAGGATAGGTACAAGGATGCCTAAGCCCCAGTCATCAGGAACAACCTCGTCTCTCCACGCTCGTTCAATCACCTCATGGAGCCAGCGCGCCAGAGTGTCGACACAAGACTTGAAGATTTCAGCGGGTATACCGTCCTCTCCGGGTGCCTTATTGTTGCGCAACTAGGCCCAATCTCAGTATCGTTTGGTTGACCGGCTCGGAGAGAGAGAGAGAGCGCGCGCGCAAGGTAGGTGTTGGGCAATCTTTCTCCATGACACGTCAGCATATTCCCCACTTTGTTAAGTCTGACGCGCTCGAAACTATGACAACGTGCCAAACGCCGTGCCTTGGAAGGCTGCCAGCTTATGGGATAACTCGGTCCTCCTCTCAGGACGAAGAGTCAGATTGTACTGGCTCCTTCTTGGCGTGCGCTGTATGGCACTCCCACCTACTCGGGATTCGAGCCGCCCTTTGTTGTTTTAGTGAAACCACGGTCCTTCATGTGCAGATCGGGCATGTGTGTGGCACGTGCAGACGGGCTGGTTAACTTTGTCAGCCACTGCGCCTGACTCCGTCTCCGGTCGTCTTAAGTCTGTCATGCCACCAGGCCCAGATGGACAAGGTAGGGGAGTATGTAGTGTCCAGGCGGTGAGAATATGTGCAGGTTGAGCGCTACCATCGCCCGGTCAGATCCCAAGTTGTAGGGAGAAGACGGAAGGCACCAGAATGAGGGGGTTATTGTGCAGAGAACCCGGAGTTTTCCTCTCAGGCGGCGGTGGCCACTGATGAAACCAGAGCTGGTGTTGACTGCATTCAGTCATGCCTGAGAGTCACTGAGACAGTGATGGCAGCCGCTTTTGTAGGCTCGTGGGCCAAGCTCAAGTGGTGTCCAGTCTGTGTGTGTGTTGCATTTGCCGAGGGGTGGTGTCCCAGTGGCTTGGTTTGCTGGTTGCAGGGGGTGGGTTGCGTTCAAGTGGCCGCATGCGCAGCTGCGGCTGCGCGGACGCTGGTTTGCCCGAGTTGTCGGTCGTTTGACTTCAGGTCAGCGCGTCTGGAACGGCCCACTGCAAAAGGGTGAATGACCTTGAGACAGCGAGGTCTTGACCAATGACACCAGACCGGCCATGATGTTTGCACGCCACAAGTATGTGCAGTATGCTATCCTCATGAACTCTGTCTATTATCCTAGTTGATAGGTGGTAATTACGAGCCACTCCTGCACAGGTGGACTTTAAAAACCCCTTCAATGCCCGAATAAGTTTAAACCCGACCGGAAATTGGAAAGTATATTGCCCTTGATCTAAACGGCGCAAGTTATTGGGGTTTGTTTTTGACAGTCGAGGCTCTCCAGACTACAGTAAAAAAAGGTGAGGGTGAGAAGGACGGCTCCAGCACCGGGAATACTAGTTTACTGTGTTGAGCCTTGAATTGTCCATTTAGTCCGTAGACATCAGTAGTCAGAAAGTGATAAAACTGTTATGATGAGGAAAATTAAGTGATCATTTCTGCATCCTCTACCGTTGGTGGGGCTGCCATTTTTTCAGTTTGACTGAGTAGCGCTTGGTAAGAGAGATGGAGCTCTCTGCCTGATTTGTACGTCTCCAATGGTAGGGGACGCTGACCGATCGTTCTTACGGAACTCACTCGTTCCGTTGTGCCTTATGGGCTCTCTCTCTCTCGAGCCCAACCAGCAGCCGCACAGCGGCGTATGATATAGGCAGAATGGCATTACCGACAAAGACAAGGGAGACTAGAATGACCATTTCTGGCTTATTAGACGTCGTCAACCAGTCATACCCCACCCCGAAGTGTGGCACACCCGAGGCTCGAACCCGCGACCTGTTAGTTAGAAGTCCACGCCTCTAACCACTGGGCTACGAGCCCGTTGCCCTGTCGGTTTTGATCGGGAATATAGAATGGTAGTGGGCGCTCACCGTCTCCCTTGTCTTTGTCGGAAATGCTATTCTGCCTATATCATACGCCGCTGTGCGGCTGCTGGTTGGGCTCGAAACAGAGTCCGTAAGGCTGTCTGTCTGCTTTTTGTTCCCAAAACGGGCCACGCGGTAGATACGCTGGACCAACACGGGGAAGTAGACTGGGGTCCGGCGGGCGTTATCGGGGATGCGCGCCCATAACAGATGCAAACATTTGGGGCATGGCGGCAGCCCCAGTTGCAAGCTTATGTCGGGCCAATCGGGATCCACGCCGCCTCCCCCCCCCACTTTATTGATATGCAAAATTTTGGTCAGTGTCCGTTGTGCACCATGGGTTGTGATGGCACGTCCGGGTGCGGTTTTCGCAGTGCCAGCCACCTTCTTGACTGTCACGACACCAGGCCCGGGTGGGGGAGGAGGAGAGAGTGCGGTAGATGCAGCGCAAGTCTACTACGACTATAGAAGGAATCATGTGCAAGTCATCGTCCCTGGTCTCACCCTGCTGTGGGACACACAGTGAAACATCGATCACGACAGTCGAACTGCGGGATTTTTCGTCGATCAGAATGTGCAAACTGCTACTGTTATCTGCCTTCCCTCTTAAATCTTTTTTTGTAGCTGAAGCATGAACCAACTGGACTAATTGGCCTTCCTGGTGGGGAGATCGCCTCAGGGGAAACAATCTCCGACGGCTTGACTCGTCTGCTTTCTGCTGAACTCAACGTCAAGCAAGCTAAATTGCCTGCACGCCACCATCTAGGCAGCTATATGAACGCCCAAGAGGACAAGTGCGTCCATCTTTTTGCCTCAAAGGTATGTCACGTTTGCACCTCATATGCACCTCATTTATTCACCACAGCATAAACGGTACGAGGGTTGCATTTCATGCCACAAGAGAGACAGAGAGAGTGACAAATTCTCATGACGCATCCTGAACGCTGCGCCCAGCTTTGTGAACCAGTGAAGTGCTTCCGATTGGAACGCTAGGAAAATCGGTTAAACTGTGGCTCGCTGACCAGTGGTCATGTGAGACGACTTTCTGAAGGAATGGTTTCCTGAAGCGCAGTAAATGGGTTCACTTATGAAATGTGCCCAAAATTACGAAACATCTCTAATCTGAGAAAGATGAAGTGCTTACTGGATCCAGGGGATTGTATTGCTGACGTTTTGAAGAGCTTGGCCGGCTCTCCATTATCAAAGCGTTGGGTGAGAAAATCGAGCGGAATTTTGAATAAACGGCCGAATCTGTTGGCCTTGGTCTGATCGATTTTTTCTTCTTTCGCCGCCTTGGCCCTCTACTCTCACGAACACCGACCAAAACTCCCAATTTATAATAAATGCTCTTAAGTGAAACAAATCAATTGCTAGAAAAAATATAACCTTCCTCAGAAATAACAGTTTTCTTACGAAAAACGGAAATTCCGCAAATATTCCCATGTTACAATTGAAAAGTCAAGTTGGCGAACGCACGTTTTCGGTAATTCTTCCTCAGGCCAATACAATTACATGAACGAATGAAAATGTACAAAATCAACAGTGTTTATAGATGCCGCCTGGCTAGACAGAGGTGACACCCGGTCGATTTCGAGTTCTATTCTCGCGCATTTAATCGATACGAACCACCGAGTCGATGCCAAGAAAGCATTTCAGGTTGTCTACCGGACACAAACATGCTTCTCTAAAGGCCTACGCCAACGGATACTAGCAACGGCCGAGGCAGTAGCGATACGGTTAATGAATCCGGTGTTATGCTGTCAGAAAACTCTGACACAAGCGCTTTCGCTGCCGTGGCCAACGCCAACCCCAAGCGATGAAGCCATGCCGCCTCAAATCCCTAATCACGATGATGGGTACTCCATGTACTCAACCCAAGATCATTACTCAAAGACTCTCTTACCCCCCTCCCCTAGCTCTGACGACTAACACCCGCCGACCTTCTCATGCGGGCGGCGTGGGGATGATGAGTGTTAGTGACTTAATAGCCCTTGAGGCATCTATAAACACTGTTGATTTTGTACATTTTCATTCGTTCATGTAATTGTATTGGCCTGAGGAAGAATTACCGAAAAACGGAAATATCGAAAGCTCGAAAAATCGTGTCATATGATTGAATTAAGGTTTTGGAATTACGTTAAGCCAGCCCATGCAAATAACTGAGTAAATAAAACGAAAAAACGAACAACATATGAAATAGTCCTTTATTGCAGTTTACTTTTAACCAACCTCCATGAATGGGCGTAAAACGGAGTATGACGGTTAGCCAAGTGCTTGTTGTATGATTATAGACTCCAAAACAGTTCCATGTGAATTTCCTGTAATTTTCCCCTTTGTATTATTTGAGATGTAGTTGATTCATATATAGAGGACATCGCTTGATTTCGATGATAGAAACGTCGCAAAAATCAAAGTTTTCACAAAGTCACATATCGAGAGGGCGGTCGGTGACTAAGAAATCTGCATAAAATTAGCAGATTTAATCACAAGCATGCTACGTTGAGTGTGAAGAGGACACTTCTTCTGCAGGAGCAGTATGTGGTTTTTGGTGGCGGTGGGATCCGTTGAGTTTCAAAGTGTCCTTAGACTATCAGTGAATATTTTGTTGCCTACAGTCATCTTAATTGACTGATCTGAAAAACGGGTTCTGTAATATGTTACGGAAATGCGAAAATTCCCGTGCAAGGATTCAGAAGGTTAATTAGTGAGCATACGTACGCTTTCGACAAATCCTCATTGGACCAGTACATTTATATGTGAGAGGATCGGGTAAAAGAGGTCAGTGTTTAGAGAAATCGATTAATGTTCGTCTTCACACACAAGCAGGGTGTGAGAATAGAGGGAGAGGGATAATAAGAAGCAGTAAAGTTTATGGAGAGTCAGTAAAGGGGGAGAGAGCGGGAGGCCGTGAATAATTGCATGCAGTTAATCTCTAATGGTAGAAACTGATATGAGAATTTTCGGACGACTTAAACGCTGGACATTTTGCTCGCTCGTTTAGCCCTTTCAAGTAAATGCGCTTTTCTCGTGCAGCAAATGTGTCCACGCAATTTTATCAAACAAAATGTTCATAACTGTCAGCGAACATGTACGTTGCCATATACTCGGGCAATTTTCTATGCCAGCACCTGTACTAGACTTCGGTTACACATCTGAGCGTGTTTTTCTTTAAGAGGCGAGTAACTTACCCTCGCACATAAAAGTTGATTTTTTGTCTGGTGCCAACCGTGGAAACCAGTTTGCTAACACACAAGTTATTTTTAGAGAACGTTCGGGTGAGCGTTCACACGTGACTCAAACGACCACACATTCGCTACTTCGATAAATGCCCTCAAGAAGTATCTTCTTTGAAGGTTTTAATAAACACATAATACAGAAACTGCCTTTATGGACAATTGATTGAAAACACCGCAAATCATGAAGTAGTCAGCGGCATTTTAATGCCGATATGTAACTCAGCGTGATCTGAAACATAAGTCTAAGCTAATTTTGCAGAGGAAAAGTTCTCTTTATATACATAAAATTGTATGTTGACGATTACGTCTGTCGACTGGCCTGGAAACGTGTGCCCTTATGAAAACCATTATCCCTATGACGTTCTTATCGGCAAAATCAAGCAAGACCCTGTCTTGCAAATTCAAATATATTTCGTAAAGAGCACGAACAAGAAGATGCTTTATTTCACCCGTTTGATAGAGCATCACATCATCTTCATATTTTATACTTAGAAAGGAGCATGATTAGGTTTTAAAAAGTTTCTAATTAGGTGCTTTTTAAGACCGTGCAATGTCCATTCATACAGCATCATACCTGTCTGTTTACCACTGCTCCTCATGAAATGTACAATATGGTCCACATCCATTGCGAAATTTCATGGACTCTAGACGGAAAGATATGGGATTTTCCTTACGCGGAACACATGCACCATGTAGACTGAAATCACTAAGCGCTAATGCCACGACTGGTCGGGCTCCAATTTATTCGGGAATTAGAAAGCTTTTTTAAAACCTAATTATACTCCTTCCTCGAGTATGAAGGTGAGGTGATTCTCTACCAAACGTTTGAAAGAAAGCATATTTTTGTTTGTGGTTTCTATGATATATATCTGAATTTGCCAAAACCATCGAAAATTGGTGTGAAAAATGCATGCTACATAAGTAGTCACTTTTTACCGAGTCCGGTTTCTACAGGAGATTTCAAGCAGTGCATGCAAAAGCTGACATCCTGCTTTCTTGTAGTCAATCAATAGAGAATCACGTCTTCTTTATATTTTATACTTAAGGAAGGAGTATAATTAGGTTTTGAAAAAGTTTCCTAATTGCCGAAAAATTTGGAGCCTGATCATTCGTTGCATTAGTGCTTAGCGATTACACTCTACAAGGTGCATGCGTTCCGCGTAAAGAAAATCACATATTTTTCTATGCCATTAAAGAGATATTATACAGAGTCCATAAAATTATGCAGTGAATGCGGACCATGTTGTACATTTCTTGAGGAGCAGTGGTAAACGGCCAGGTACGATGCTATGTGAATGGACATTGAGCGGTCTCAAAAAATCTCATAATTGGAAACTTTTTTAAAACCTAATTATACTCCTTCCTTAAGTATAAAATATAAAGAAGACGTGATTCTCTATTGATTGACTAAAAGAAAGCATATTTTTGTTTGTGGTTTCTATAAGATATATTTGAATTTGCAAGACCATCGAAAATCAACGGAAAAAATGCATGCAACTTAAGTATTCATTTTTTACCGAGTACGGTTTCTACAGGAGATTGAAAAGAAGTGCATTTAAAAGCCGACATCCTGCCGAGTCCAAATTGTTATAAGAGTATGCCTTTAGATAATCAGTATCACAACTGCGACCAAGTAATCCTTCCTAATCGAAAACGCATTTCAGAATTTCAGCCAACATTTCATGAGATAGGTCACGCACTGTGTGCTCGCCAATTAGTCTTCTGTACCATCTGTGTTCATCAAAACCTACAAAGTAAGATATTTTGAAAGTATTTCCGGATGTAGACTCGACAGTTAGGCTGTCGTGATCGACGATGTCCACGATGGATAGCACGGTGGAAACCCGCACCCACGTGCATCACCACACCCCTTGGTCCACAACGTACACTGGCCGAGATTTTACGTAATAAACTTACCCAAAATAAAACCAAATCGTCGAGGAGAGTTAAGTCCACACCGATCGTCCGTGATTAATATGCCCTTGATCAATAAAAAGACCTTCGCTAATAACACACATCTTTAAAAAGCTCTTAATAAGGTATTTCGCTGACAGGATATCTGTGTTTTGCACCTTTTTGTCTAGGTACAGTTAGGGAAAAGTGGGATCGTTTAGTTAACATTTTCAGTGTAAAATACCTATAGTGTTTCTGTCCCAGGTTAAAGAGCCCACTTTGTCCTTTACACTGGAGCCATTTTCACATTTTTTGCTTTCTTTTATTCACCGTTTTACAGCTATAAATATACAGCTGAACGGACATATAAATAACTACGAGGTCGACGAGTTTTTCACGATTGGGTCCAATGGATTACATATTGCTCAAAGTGCTTACGCTCTGCTCGTCCCGCTTCTAAATTACGTATGAATCTAAACTAGCCCACACAAATAGTTGCTTATCATCTGTCCGAAAATCGAAGTGACCACATGGTGGTGGGCCTTTTTGTAGTTACTTATGGGATATTTGCGAATGTCGGGAAAATATGGGTATATTTAAACAAAGGATTGCCTGCGGACGTTAGTACTGCTTTTTAGGGCATGAAATCAAACTAATTTATAAATTAGAATTTTTAAAAACGACAAAACTTCTGGCTCTCCAAATCTAACATGCTTGTCCCCATTCTGTTTCACCCGACTTACGCGGGTTAGAAATCAGTTTCCAAATGCGTCAAGGTTTGTTTGGGAAAAACGCCCCAGCCTAGTTTATTCTCCTCTCGTAGAAAGACCCAGAGAAATGCTCAAACCAAGTCTAGGACAGCTAGTACTATCAGAAATTGCCCACCGGGCAACGTTTCCTAAATTGCAGTCTTGCCATGTAATATGAGCCCCCCATTTATGCATGCCTGCGTAGTTCGTGTGAGAGTCTTCGCTGATGGTCGTTTTGCTGCCGGCCGTCCAGCGACTCGTCGGGCAGATCGCAATTAGGCCCCGCCGTCCCGGGGTTTCCATGGTTTCGGATGAATTTGTCCTCGAGTGTTACGACAAGAGGACATACTTGAGTACTCATCGGTCAAGAAAATTTCGACCGACGGGACAAATCGTAGAAGTGGTTGAAGTAAATTAGTGAGGGCTGGTGTGGAGGAGCTGTTAGTCTGTGTCAGCGCACACATCCTCTGGTCTCCACTGCACAGGACAGATCCCTCATGCAGTTGTCTTACCTTTTTGCGGACTAGTGCGCTTTTATTCCGCTTGTGGTGTTTGGACTACACCCTTGACCATGACTGCTGTAGGTATTTGTAAAAGGCAACATAATTTGGTGAAGAATGCATGGTCTGCGACTGGACTGACAGGTCTCCTTTTCTCGGCGGGTGCGATGCGTTTTGCGGGGTCTGTCTGGAGGACATTACTGCCGACGTGATGATCACGTTTCTCACGAAGCCTTCCCCCCCTTCCCCGAGGCGCATGTTTTGCCGGTTGGCGTAGTTGTTGAGATTCGCGGGGTGATCGAGATGTAGAGGTCACATCAGGCTGAGTGCGTCGCTGATGCGCAATCACGATGGGGCTAGGGCGGGCCACCACCCACTCACTGAGGATTGACTACAGACGCCAGCCCTCCAACACACACACACAAAGTGCACACACAGGACACGGCTAAAAAAGGACTGTTTTGTATCCCGTAGCGTCTGCACGACTCCAGCATTTTGTTTACAGAGCGCCTGACGGCAGTCTAGTGTTTTGCCAAGGCTGTGCGGCACACGCGCTATGCGCCGTAAGCGTTTTTTATATGGCCTTCCGGATCGCCAGATTCGTCTGTTTTAAACGCACGCAGGGAGCGGTATCTACTATTTCAACGCAGACCACGAAAATCTTGAGAAGTCAATCACAATCCTCAAGCCTTAGAAGAGAGATGCGGTAGCTGGAACAATAACTTTATCCACCTGATCTTTCGGATTCGCAGTCAAACCTATCACCCGACACAGCATCATATAAGTGTAGTAGATGCGCAGAGGTTGCAGTATTTATAGGACGCAGTTGTTGCGTCATCGCACGCCGAGCAACATTAGCGTCTCCCGCAATCATAGCTGAGGGTTACATTTGGTGCAATAAATAATTTGATTACGCGCAACTGGCTAATTACCCTGACCAGGCAGGGTCCCAGCACTGAATGTGGAAGGCGAGGACATCGTGCCTGTCATTCGACTGTGAGCTGGAGGACCACCACTCAGACAACTCGAGGCTCACGCTCTCGCGAGAATTCCAGGCTGATCGAACTTGAAAGTGTGACTGTGTCCCGTCTAGAGAGGCGCGACCCTGGGGACTGACGTCGTTGCTGCTGCGTGCTCGGCCATCAGCGTCCGAAGCAGTCTCCTAGTGTCTCCGACGTAGTCGCCTTGCCCGCATCTGCATCAGATCCGACGTTTTATGCGTGACGGTGTGTTTTCCGGCGTCACTGCTTGGCACCTGGTCAGCGTGCAACCCAAGCTCCAAGTGGTGTGATAAGGCGGCTGACGACTTCTGAAGCACAGTTTGGGACTGTAGGATTTGGTTTCGCGTCTGATTTCCGCACGCACCGGTTGATAAAGATGTTCAGGTGGCCATTCACTCCGAGCACTCGTTGAAGGTATTGCATTACTACTACTACTACTACTACTACTACTACTACTACTACTACTACTACTACTACTACTACTACTACTACTACTACTGCTACTGCTACTACTACTACTACTACTACTACTACTACTACTATTACTACTATTACTACTCCTGCTGTCATTGCTATTAACGCTATTACTACTATTGCTACCACTAATACTATTACTTCTGTCAAAGCTCCGACTACCACTAGTCCGTCGAAGGAATTGTGGTTCGGGACAACGCATCCAAATACGCCGTTACAGTGTACATATACATCAGCGTTCATAGTTGATGAGGTGGATGAAGACAAATACTTACGTCGTGCTTGTCGGCTTAATGAGCGCAGTTGATTTAAGCCATCACATACAGACAACGACATCGAGGGTAACCAGCTGGTTGACAAAGTTACGCGGAAAGCCATTTGCTCTGAGAATCCGTCGAAGCTATTGCAGTACGACAAGTTTACCAACTGGCAGTGTGCGTCAGTATCCGTAGAACTCCGATTGATAACTTCAGTGCGTCAGGCGTGGTCAAAGGCTGACTGACAGAAGTCCAAATTCTTCATTGGTTGGCGGAGAGACGATAACCAAACAAGTGGTGCATGGGAGAGAAAAGGGAAAGTAAAGTCAACACTGACGAATCCATCCCCACAGCACTTAAGCGCTTTCCTAACTCTAGTGGATCTGACGCACTTACAGCAGGTGGGCTAGTTCATGAAATGTCAACCGAAATTTCGAAATGCGTTCTCGTTTCGAAAAGATTAATTAAGTAGGGTTGTAAAGCTAGTCATCATGTTGCATAATTATATAATGATCCAGTTACCTCAGGGTACCTTCTTTCGAACGTACTTATTACCGACTGCATGCAAGAAGTATACCCTGCAAGAAATGACTACTTACGTAGCATGCAATCTTCCCATTGATTTTCTATGACCTCAAAAGTTCAATTATATTTCGTGAAAAAATTCTTAAAAATATTCATTATTTTGCTTATTCGGTAGACAATCACGTCTTCCTCCAATTTTGTACCCGAAGAAGGAGTATAATTCGGTTTCAAAAAAGTTTCTAATTGTGAGATGTTTTAATACCGTGAAACGGCCGTTCATAAAAGTTCATGTATCTGCATTTACCAATGTGGCTTGTAAAGTTAATCATATTGCTTAAATCCTTTGCTTAATTTTATGAACCCCATATGGTCTCCTCTTAACATCGTAGAGAAATGTACGGTTTTCCGTACACGGAAAATATACGGCTTGTATTTTCGAAACCCTTAATGCAAGTTTAACTGCAGGTCGGGTTCAGGATTATTCGGGAATTAGAAAAGTTTTTTAAAACCGAATTATACTCTTCGTTCAAGTATAAAATTGGAAGAAGACCGTGATTTTCTACCTAATGAGCAAAAGGATGGATATTTTTAAGCATTTCTTCATGAAATATAATTAAACATTTGAGGTCATAGAAAATCAATGAGAAAATTGCATGCTACGTAAGTAGTCATTTTTTGCAGGATATACTTCTTGCATGCAGTCGGTAATAAGTACGTTCGAAAGAAGGCACCCTGAGGTAACTGGATCATTATATAATTATGCAACATGATGACTAGCTTTACAACCCTACTTAATTAATCTTTTCGAAACGAGAACGCATTTCGAAATTTCGGTTGACATTTCATGATTTAGCCCACCTAGTTTAAGTCTATTAGAAAGGAGCAAGAGTCGTTGATTAGAAGGTTGCCAACTGACAGGGTAATTCGCTTCTTTTCAAAACTGGAGGGGGGGGGGCGGGCGGTCTGCAACGTCGCCTTACCACGGCCTTCCTAGCAGTCTCACGCATGTGGGAGAAGATCCGACCTTATAGTGGCCTGATGCACGTGGCGAAAACCGGGTCGCGCTTGGTCCGCGTAGACGGGATGTTCGGCTTTATGAGCCGCTGTGCCAACGAACTGCTCTAGTTGTCTTGTCATTAGAGTAAGGTGGGTGGGACAGGGGGCAGCGCAGTAGATGTTACGCAAGCCTGATTCACTAGAATCTGATTGACGTGCATGCCCTTGGTACCGCACGCGCGTGGCAACATCTGTCGCGTTCACGTGCCTTATGGATCACGGTGGCTGTAAAAATTCCAACCGAAGCAATGGGTTCTTCGGTTGCACTACACGGTTGTGGGACTCTGCTTATGGCAATTACTGTCTTGCGGATCCCTCCTTTTGATTGTGTATGCGTTGTTAGATAAGGTACTCGGGTCGTTCATTCACCTAGTCCAGGTGCAGGTTGTGCGTCCTTCCTGTAGCCTGTCATACTGCGCTGTGATACCACATCTGTAGGTGTCATTTACTCCGTAAGCCCATCTGCCATTCTAAATTTTCCTTTTCCCGCATGCTGTGCAGATAACACACTCAGAACTGAAGCAGCTCCTGCTTTCAGCACTCGTGTCGCCCTCTTTCGGGCTCGTTAACGGCGGTTACTCTCTCCTCCCCATATCTGCTACCTCTGGCGGAACCAACATCAGTGCGCTGTCCCGGTACCTGGCCTTCGGCCTCTCCCCCACAACGCCCTACGTGGACATGGCTTGTTCTCCGCGTGCCGTCTCCGTCCTTCGCGGCAATACCTTTCAACTGCTGCACACGGCTCTCCTCACCCCCCAGCTGGGCCCTATCCTCACGCCCGCGGAGTATACTGAGGAGCTGAAGGCCGCCTGCTCACTGGTCAGTAATGCAGCCAATTACCAAGCCCGGGAACTGGATGTCAGTCACAGAGACCGCTCAAACCAGCCGCCACTGCAGGTGTAAATACTAACCGATCTACAGATCGCCTCCGGTCTGTACGCGCTGGAAGTGTACGCCCTCCTTGGCCTGTTGAGGCTTCACGGCCACAATCCCTGTCGATCTCTTTCTCTGCAGAAGAATTTTGTAAAAGGGGGAGTTGGGATTTGTGCTTTGTACAAAGGCGCTGCCTTGTTAAATCTCCTCTCAACATTGTTAAGTTCTCGCGCACTTTTTTGGGTTTCACGCGAGCTTTTGGAGGCCAGCAGATTGCAGTTGAGTTCTGTTGTGTGAGCTGCTTTGACGAGCTGCACTCCAAAATGCTTTAGCCTTATGACGTCTGGGGATTTATCCACCTAAGGTATACTCACAGCAAAGTGCTTAAAGCGCCCTGGTTAAGTGTTCATTCCTCTTGGAAAAATGAAATCTTCCCACGACCGTTTAGGAGAGAAACCAAATGATTCTTGAACAAACCATTTTTGGGTTCCTTTCAGAAGTGCCGGGGCAACCTGATTTCCGAACCGATCAGACTCGTTTTCGCTCTTTTGTCATCGTGAGCCATCCACAGCCCGACCCCAGGCCAGAAATATTTGGAGTATGGACTATAGTCTAGTTGGTCATAGAGTCTAGTCTTGCCACTGGATCCAGAGGCCCAGGTTTTATTCCATCTTGTCTCCTTCGATTATGCTTCCCGACCATAGATTTTTCGTCACCATATAATCGCTTGTGAGGTCCAGACGGTAGCTCCATTTCCAAAGTGAACGCATCTGCGAACGCCACTTACACATGACTAAGGGCTCAGAAAATTGTTTAAACGCCAGTTAACCCTAAAGACACATGCGAATATAGTCCTTACATCAGAATATGGTGAACATCGATGATTTTACGGAAGTCCAGTAGACTTACGCTGTCAGCAAATCACTCGAGTGTATCGTAGAAATATCAGGAAAGCACACTAACCGATGATAAAAGAGTGTACTAGACCTGCTAAATAACACCGTAAATGCTATTTTGAACAGCCAACCTGATTCGTCGGACATTTCTGAAGCCAAATACTCCCATTACCCACGCCGGAAGTCTGCTGGTGTCAAATTTAGTCGGGGCTAACGCTACTACTGAATTCTTTGAAGCAGTGACCAACGTCAAAGTTCTCGCATCTCGTAAAAATCGATTGCTCTGCCCGATCTCTTGCTTGAAGATAGTGGATGAAACATGTGCATAAATGGTGGAATTTACCGACTTCATCAGATTTCACAACTGCTCCTCAGCTGTAGTCTGTCGATGTTTAACACGAAGAAAAACCTGAGTGAACGCGCTAAGTCGCGAGGCGATTTTTAATTCAGAAGAAGTGGTGGCGGGCGAACGTTGCGTTCGATTACTTTTCGTCAGGCCAGTACAGTTATATGGGATGGGGTACAGTGAGTGAAAAAAATCGATAAAAATTAGTTTTTGAAATACAGGCTAGGCAAGAGCGGAAGGGCGCAGAAAGTTGTATGTGGTTAGTCAACCTTTGAGTACGGTAAGCGCGGAGCCCGCACGAGGTTCTTCTGGGTGCAGAGGGTCGGTTTTCATAACCTGATGGCGGCCACCTCTTCTGCTGCTAACAGGCGCTGACCCAGTAGCTTAGGGTAGCTCGAGGGGACCTTACAAATCACACGAAATGTTTCAGCGGGGTCCACACGATGCCCTGAATCCACTTCATGCGCAAGGATGGCGATGTCTTTTCGGTTAGATGATACTTGGTAGCCCTCCTAACACC